AATCCACCGACTGCCATAAACCACCCCCCAAATCACCAATTTTATGGATAGGATTTCAATCCTCCCCAAATGGTAAGCTTATTATAGGCTTTCCCACATCCCTTTATCAAGACACACACACTAGACAAGAATGGATAATTATATGATCCGGCAGGAACTGAATCCTGTAACATGCAGATTAGACAGGAACCGAATTAATATACGATATATATATATAATATATATATATATAGATCACAGTAGACAATGACAGTATAAAACAACAGCGATAAAATATATTATATGTCCCCCCAGCTGCGTCTTAAATGCGCCCAGGGCGGGACAAGGCAGGTACGTTTACCTGATCTCCAGTGTGGAGCTTCATTGGCAGAGGCCACAACTGGAGATCCCTCTGCCCCCTGCCATATATATAATATAAGGACGAAGTTTTACGTCTATTCAGACGATACACACACACACACACACCCTGCCTCCGGCAGGGTGGTGCGCGTAAAAATGAGATGAAAATGAGGATGAACGGGGGATGAAAAATGAGATGAGAGTGAAAATGAGATGAACGTTACTTAACCAGGACGCGAAGAGGGGAACGCAAAAGAAGAGGGAAGGAGCAAACACACACCAACACACCTAGCCCGGAGCGGGCGAACCCTGAAAAGGCAAGAGAAAAGAAAAAAGCGGAGGGTCGACGGACACGGACCAAGACCAGCGGAGGGGGGGGAAGACGGAAGCGCCTGAACCAACCTGCCAAAGCGAAAACCTACAAAAACCTCAGCACGCGACGGAGCCAACCTACCTGGGGAGGGAGGAGAGCATGAGATAGGGGACCAATTGGGAACTAGTTAGTGAAAAACAAAACCAAAACCAGGATTCAGCTCCTAAACCTAGGGTTCGTGCGTTATGCCACTCCAGGCCCGTGTTCAAGTCTTGCCCCAATCGGCATAAAACGGCTTTCAAGTTCCAACGAATTAGGTGCACAATATGTTTAACCTCACCAGACAACCATCAAAAGAAAAAGGACCACACCTGGAAAGCATGTGCCTGCCTTTCTGTTGTCCCAAATGTTCAAAAGCTGAAGCTGCAGTAAAAACCGAGTTTCTGATTGTTTCGAACGGCTTCATTCTGGCAGACAGGAATCTCGGCGAGAAAACCCTGGGACTACAGGAGCAGCGAGACTCTTCGAAAACGGTGTAAGGCCGACAGTTTCGCTTTACTTATAAGCGAATTACCATATTAAAATGTGTGAATTCGGAATTCAAGTCAGTCGACATTGACCCCAACTGGGGTTGCCTCAATTGGCCCTATGGCACCATGTCGGAGTCACCATAGGAATCACACTAGACAAGAATGGATCATTATATGATCCGGCAGGAACTGAATCCTGTAACATGCAGATTAGACAGGAACCGAATTAATATACGATATATATATATATATATAGATCACAGTAGACAATGACAGTATAAAACAACAGCGATAAAATATATTATATGTCCCCCCAGCTGCGTCTTAAATGCGCCCAGGGCGGGACAAGGCAGGTACGTTTACCTGATCTCCAGTGTGGAGCTTCATTGGCAGAGGCCACAACTGGAGATCCCTCTGCCCCCTGCCATATATATAATATAAGGACGAAGTTTTACGTCTATTCAGACGATACACACACACACACGCACACGCACACGCACACGCACACGCACGCACGCACGCACACACACATTGATTGGTTATGACAGTGTCCTCCACTTGTCAAAAGGCACCCTTTCATAGTTCCCAAGCAGTACCCCAAACTTGGCATTCGAGGTAACGGATGGTAACAGCATGTTTGTTTCGATGTTAGCCTAGCAACTCTTGCACTGGTCATTGTGCCAGGGGTGGTCGCAACCAAACAGAAATAATCCATAAACTTGGATGTGGATAACTGCCTCCAAAATGGAGCCACTAAATTATGTCTTCTAGTTAGAGGAGCAACCATGATATGACCAATCCTATTCGAGTTTAGCATAGGTTGGAATCCACCGACTGCCATAAACCATCCCACAAATCACCAATTTTATGGATAGGATTTCAATCCTCCCCAAATGGTAGGCTTATTATAGGCTTTCCCACATCCCTTTATCAAGACACACACAGATTGATTGGTTATGACAGTGTCCTCCACTTGTCAAAAGGCACCCTTTCATAGTTCCCAAGCAGTACCCCAAACTTGGCATTCGAGGTAACGGATGGTAACAGCATGTTTGTTTCGATGTTAGCCTAGCAACTCTTGCGCTGGTCATTGTGCCAGGGGTGGACGTAACCAAACACAAATAATCCATAAACTTGGATGTGGATAACTGCCTCCAAAATGGAGCCACTAAATTATGTCTTCTAGTTAGAGGAGCAACCATGATAATCCTATTCGAGTTTAGCATAGGTTGGAATCCACCGACTGCCATAAACCATCCCCCAAATCACCAATTTTATGGATAGGATTTCAATCCTCCCCAAATGGTAGGCTTATTTTAGGCTTTCCCACATCTCTTTATCAAGACACACACACACATTGATTGGTTCTGACAATGTCCTCCACTTGTCAAAAGGCACCCTTTCATAGCTCCCAAGCAGTACCCCAAACTTGGCGTTCGAGGTAACGGATGGTGTAAAGTGTAGAGTGTGGAGTGTGGAGTGTAAACTGTAGAGTGTGGAGTGTAAAGTGTGGAGTGTGGAGTGTAAAGTGTAAAGTGGAAAGTGTGGAGTGTAGAGTGTAGAGTGTAAAGTGTAGAGTGTGGAGTGTAAAGTGTGGAGTGTGGAGTGTAAAGTGTGCAGTGAGGAGTGAGGAGTGTAAAGTGTAACGTGTAAAGTATGGAGTGTAGAGTGAAGAGTGTAGAGTGTAAAGTGTAGTGTGTAAAGTGTAGAGTGTGGAGTGTGGAGCGTAAAGTGTAGAGTGTGGAGTGTGGAGTGTAAAGTGTGGAGTATGGAGTGTAAAGTGTAAAGTGTAAAGTGTGGAGTGTGTAGAGTGTAAAGTGTGGAGTGTGGAGTGTAAAGTGTGCAGTGAGGAGTGAGGAGTTTAAAGTGTAGAGTGTGGAGTGCAAAGTGTGGAGTGTGGAGTGTAAAGTGTAAAGTGCAAAGTGTGGAGTGTAGAGTGTAGAGTGTAAAGTGTAGAGTGTAAAGTGTAGAGTGTGGAGTGTGAGGTGTGGAGTGTGGAGTGTAAAGTGTGCAGTGAGGAGTGAGGAGTGTAAAGTATGGAGTGTAGAGTGAAGAGTGTAGAGTGTAAAGTGTAGTGTGTAACGTGTAGAGTGTGGAGTGTGGAGTGTAAAGTGTAGAGTGTAAAGTGCAGAGTGTAAAGTGTAGAGTGTAAAGTGTAGAGTGCTGTGTGTATGCCTGTCTGTGTCTGTGTCTGTCTCTGTATGGGAGGGAGGTGACAGTTGGCTACGCGAGGTTACGGGGAAGCATGGGAGCAAATTTCTGCCATTTGGCGGCCCCCCCCGGCCGCCTATTGAATTTCTCTTCTGGGATCATTGGGAAAAGGCCGTTTAGGCCAAATCTTGGCCGGGAGGATTTCACGGGTCAGGTCACGGGGGGTCATGGGAGGTTACGGTAGGTTACGGGAGGTTACGGAGGAGGAAAACGGAGGAAAGTAGAGGAACGGCAGGAAAAAATCGTTAAAAACAGGAGGAAAATGGAGGAGCTCCGAAACTCAACGGAGAGCAGCGTCCGTTGGGGTTCGGAACAAGATAGTTTGCAAGGGGATGAGAAGTGATACTGAGGAAGGGGGGCCGAAGGGTTGCAAAGCAAGGAGAAGTCTTCCAAAGGTGCTGCAGATGGTTTGGGCTTCTAGTTCATACGGGATTGTAAGAGGACGTTTGGGGGCTCGGGGCTGGCTTTCGTCCCCCCTTCTCAGGTGTGTATATATTTATGTTAAGTTATATTATATTATATATACACAGTTTGTTTTGGGGGTGTGTGGCAACTGCAGATGTATGGACCATGGATGGCACACAATATATGCAGATATAGATGACATGGAAACAGAAAGGTTATACAGAATTCGTTTGGGGACTGAATGGAAATCCAAATGTTGAGGGGCGCTTGGAAAACAGAAACCTTGCCAGTTTGTAGGTTGGAAAAAACATGTTGCCAAAATTTTCTGTGACAAAACGCGCTCTGGTTGGAAACCAGCAATTTTGGTGATTGGGGACTCGCCATGCAGAGCCACAAACTCATCTCGAGATGCGATCCTCGCCAAACAACGGCTCAAGAGGACAAATACCAGTTTCAGTCAAACATGTAAAAAAGACACAAACAAGAACAAATCAAACCAAAATTCGGTCATAATCTTTGTGAAGGATCTTGCAATCACCTTCTCGGGGGCCATACACAGTGTAAAGTGTAAATTCGGCCATAATCTTGGCGTTGGCCTGGAGCTCCAAGTAGCGCTTCTCGGCACGTAGTCGTAGTTGGAGATTCTCAGCCATTGCATGTCCACTGACTCCTTCAGAAGAGTGCACTGCAATGTTGTCCAAGTTGTCCATCTGCCTTCCGAAAGCTCATTGGGAAGGTGCAAATCCACCTATCCTTGCCATGTGGTTGTGAGCAGTGGTCATGGCGTAGACGGCTATTCGGGGAGGCACATCCTCGCTTCTCAGGAACAACTCAATCTTGTGACGTAGTTCTCCAACCATGCCCTCCACATCTCCCGTGGCCTGATGATGTTCTGCTGGTACTTGAAGTAGTTCAATGCCACGCTCTGCGCAGTAGGCCTCCAACTCTCGTCCTCTGAAGGCACCCTCAAGGTCGCATCGAATGCGTTGAGGATGTGCAAAGTATTGGAACCATGATCCTTCCAGAGCTTCAATCACGCTCTGGGTGTCCACGTTGGCATGAATCTCCTCCACATGGACCAAGATCTCGGCAGTGATGGAGAACCCACTCGCCTCGTCGAGCATGACCAGGTAGTGGTAGACATTGGAATCGTGCTTGAAGTAGAAGGTGTCCATCTGTAGCGTGTTCCAGATTTTCTCCTCCTACTCCAAAGCAACAGCTACAGAGGGCTTGCTGAACTGTCCTTCTTGACATTCGTCGCACTGCAAGTTCTCCGCAATCGCCAGCATCTTAGGGTCGGCGTTGCGAGCAGCAAGGATCTTCACCAGTGCTCTGTTTCCAGAATGTCCACATCGACGATGTAGTTTGAGGACCGTGAGCGAGAGGCGCTCGATCTCCTGATAGGTCATCGTCTTCAGCGACTCCCGGTCAATCTTCACAGAGTCCAAGCCGTAGATGTTGTAGTCCTCCAAGTAGTAGGCCTTCATACATCGGGCTGCCAAAGAGCACATCTGTGGTGTGTAGAGCCCTGACTTCTTCGCCACAGTTCCACCCATTGTTGGAGAGTGTTTGTGGCTTCCATCACAAAGTCGCTCCATCTTGCTGAAGACTCCAAATCTGTTACTTCTCAAAGTCCAGGGTTTCTTGTGGTAGTTGCCATCTTGCGCACGTAGGTTGAACATGCAGCCGTCCAGGTTGTGGTCGATGTGAGCAATCTGTGCCCAGAACGAACGCACCTCAGGAAGATGCCACCCTTCGTTGTAGCGAGGCCGTTCCCACACCAATTTGCCACCATTCTGGATGTACTTGAGGAGGATCTCATTGCCATGTTTCACCAACCTTCGTGCTCGTTGTTTTCGTCTCATACTTTGCCACCAGCCCTCCTCACTGATCTCATTCAAGTGCTGGATGTGGCTTGTAGGTCCGCAGGGATAAGAAACCCAAACCCAACGTGGTTTCTTCTCATCAATGGTCTTCTGAACCTTCTCCCTGCCGGATGCTTTCATCAGATCGCATCCATTGAAGAGCCCAGCCGTTCAGCTTTTCCACGAGCAGCACGAACCACCTCAGTGAGTAGGCTGTTCTCCTCGCAGCAAAGTTCCAGTATAGATCAAGTCGATCATCTTCTCGCATGCCACCACAAGCAAAGATCTCCTCTTCCATGTCATCAAAGTACTCCTGGACATAGTTCACCAAGTGCTTGGTCAAGGTGTTGTCCAGGTTCTTCACGAGATAGTTCTCCTCGGGCTTGTGGGGCTCGTTGTTGTCAAAGTCCTGGATGGCCTCATTCTCCGGGATGAGTTCATAGTCCAGGTTATATAGTTCTCCTCGGCCTTCTCGGTCGCCTCAGCTTCGTCGCCTAAGATGAAATCACCGTGAAGGAACCAGGGCTGTCCACCGTCTCCTCTCTCTGCTTTGCCTCTAGCTCCTCCGCCGACTCGGTCTTCCGGCCTTTGCGGCCTGGTAGCATTGCATGATAGGGCCCTCGGTCTGTGGAGCGGCTGCCGGCTTGTCCTTGTTGTAGGCCGCTTTCTGCGCCTTGATCTTCTCGAGTTGGTTGAGGCAGCTCTTCTCGGCTCCGTCCAAACCGATGTCCTTGTCCCGAAGCTTCAGCCTGTAGGCCGCGCAGCTCGTCGACCTGCTTCTCCACGTCCGCAGGGAGTGCACCCGGTTTGCGGGTGAGGGCATGCGCACCCCATGACGGGGTGTAGCTGAGCCTCAGCTTGCACCGAGCGCACGGGCTCCGCTGCATCTCGGATCCCTCGGGTCTGGTCCGCAAGTCCGGGACCAATCGAATTTGGCGTCCTTGTTCCCCTTGAGCTTGGTCTTCGAAGATTGGCTCTTCTCCTTGGCCTTGTTGCCATTGGACGACATGGCACCAGCTGTCGGAGGTCGTGAGCCAAGGGGCAGTCGCTAACCAAGCGAGTAATCGCAAGGACATTCCTTGCTGAGCTGAGTCTGCAGGGTTCGGAGAACTGAGGTTTTGCTGATCTTCAAGTCTGACTGCAAAAATGTTGGCCAACCATTCATCACGTTGACTTTCATCCAACCTGGATAGTTCACCTCTTTCACCTTCATTCAACAACTGCATGCAAGTTTCAACGTTCCACGTTTCACGGCTTTCAGTTTGTGAAATGGTTGAATCACCGTGAAAAACTTGATGTGAAAGATCGTGATCATCATGACAAACTTGTGCATGCATGTTGTGATCTCCATGAAATACGTGATGACTCATGCACTGATCTTCATGAAATTCTTGATGTCTCATGCTTTGATCTCCATGAAAAACAGCTCGACCTCTCTCTCCCTCAGCCTCACGAACCATGTACGCTGTATCGGCAAACTGGACCCTTTTCTCCTCGACAGAAATGTCCGAGTGGAAGAAAATCCTTGATCCTCCCTGAAGCCAGTTGTCGCAGAGATCAATCAACAAGTGGCCTGCTGATGATTTCTTCAAAGGTATCATCAAAGCTGCGTCAACTGTTTTGAGGACCATCACACTTCGGCTACAATCTACAATCGCCCCTTGGCACGCCTGGGGCATCGATTGTGAAGGCACCAAGTGAGATATGGTGCTTGCCAAGTGTTTGAGGGATCAATACAAAGCTCTCTGATGTTTGCGTTTGTCCATTTCCAAACCTGAAAACTTTTGGGGGGCGATCCACAACTTGAAGTCTCTCCTCTCCAAACGTTGTCTTCTCTTGTTGAGTACAAATTCTAAAGCTTCCAAGGATGTGATGGCTTCAGTGGCTCCTGTATCTAAAACTGCAAATCCTTCTAAGTCAGGTTGCTGCACATGTCCGATCAACGACGGCATGGTGCCAGGAACGTTCTGGCCATAGGCCTCCACAGGGGCTGCATAGATGTTCTCCGCCGAAGCGGAAGTCATAGAAGACACCATGTAGATGCCACCACCCTTGCCAGCCTTGTTGGAACTCTTCTTGGGGGCAGTTCCTGAACTCATGGTCACGGCTGCCACAGATGAAGCAGCCAGAGTAGTTCGGAGAGCCCACTGTCGCCATCGCATCAGCTGCCATCGCAGCACCACCTTTGCCCTTGGAAGACGATGTAGAGGAGGAAGGTCGTGGTTTGCCCTTCTTGCCCTTGAACTTGCCCTTCGACGGGTAGAAGCCTCGATTCATCACCTTGTCCCGCATGAGGTTGCGGCTTTCTGCAAACGTCCGCAATTTGCCTTCATAGGCGGCGTAGGCTTCTGACAGCTCGTGAAGGAGGCATGTTGTTGGGCAGCTTCCCAATCATTCCAAGACCAGTAGACGCCATAGGTGTCCTGGGTGTAGTACTCCCCGGTGTCAGCATCTCGTTCCCACCAGGTTTGGCCACCATCAGCGTCCTGAAACCAAACTCCATCATCTTGTCCACCATACGCTGATGTCATAGTCGAGGATGTAGAGCTCAGAACGCCATAGTTCGAAGCCAACTCCTGAGTGTCACCAATCCAGTGGACATCAGAAGTCCAGTCATCCATGTCCTCCTCGCTGGCATTGAGCAATGCCCATTCTCCTCCATGTTCCATCCAGAAGACGGGGCGGCCCTTCTTTCCACCTCCCTTTGGATGTTGTTCTCAGTCATGTAGTCGCAACTCTTCTTCTGCTCCACGAAGTCCACGCTCAATGTCCTCCGCCTTCAAAGAGTTGCCAACTGACGACAAAATGTTGAGCCGCTGCTGTGAGCTCAAAGAGCAGCGACGCAACATCAGCCATCCCACTAGTTCTGTGGGCAACACCTCAGGGAGTCCTGTGTCAAGGTCGTCCCAGACTTTGATGCCAGCCAGGATGTCCTCCGTGTCGGTGTCGGAGTCCTCACGGCCTCTTGAACCACGTCCTTTGCCTCTCATCCTGCGTCGCACTTCTGACTCACCAGCCGGAGAGTCATATCCATAGTCCCGGCTGTCCTTCTCACTAGGTGTCTTTGGAGCTTCGGCAGAAGGTCCAGCATCATCAGCTTGAGGTGGAGTTTTGTATCCTTCAGGTTCATCCACAGTCTGCTTGCTTGAGCGTCTCCTGGAAGAAGGCGATTCCCTCGGCGAAGTCGGAGTCGGCCTCTGTGAAGTCGGTGTAGTCCTCGGCAATCTTGAAGATCTTCCAGACCCAGGAGTGCCAGGCGACTCCTGCACAGAGCCATGTTGCTCCACCCTCGCCCTCTTCAAAGCTCGTTGCAAGCCTCGGTAGGTCTCCCTGACCTTATGGCACCAGGATGCCATGCTCATACCTGCTGGTCGCCGCATCTTGACGAACAGCTCCTCAGCTTTGGTCCCTGCATCGGGAACTGGCACCTTTCCCAATCTCTGCTCCAAGAACTCGATGAGGAACCGCGCGCCGTGAGGCTGCACCAGCATCCGATGGTCGATCTCCTGTGTGACCGTCCATGCTCTGCCGGTCAATTGGGAGACCAATTCTGGTCCTAGGTACTTCCTCTTTCTGCTCCTGGTCTTCTCAAAGGTCAGACGGACCTTCCGTATGTAGTCCTGCCATGACGCAGGATCACCATCCCAGGAGCATTTCACGTGCACATCTTTGTCGCCCATCTTTTCTTCAATCACCTTCAAATACTGCGTCTCCCACAGCAAGGGATCTTGTAGTGCTCGAAGTCCACCCAGCGTAGGGCTCGTAGTCCAAGCAACTGCAAAGTGACCGCGATGAAGTAGTAGTCCAAGCAAATGCTAAGAAGATCTCGTAGAGGTCGAAGTCCAAGCTCTTGCAAGAGGATCTTGATGTCGTAGAGGTCCAAGCAAGAATGCTCAAAGCAGCTTGATGTCGTAGAAGTCCAAGCGCCATGCTCAAAGTCGCAAGACCTGGGAGCTTCGCAACGATGGCCAGGATGTAGCACCCTCAGTCACACACGTAGTTGCCCTGGTCGAATTCCGTCTCCACCAGCTCCGGCTCGGTTGGCCTCTAACTCAGTGGAGACCCAGGCAGCTCCGCTACCAGTTACAGTGTGTAACTGGTAGGGCCACAGCAAAGCGAAGTTCCAAGTTGCGCTGGCTGAAGTCCTTTTCCACGCCAAAGTTGTCTCTGGCAAGTCGCGCCACCTATGGCGCACAGGAGCTAAGTAGCCTTTCAGCTGCAAAGCAAAAGTTTGCCAAAGGGGACCCTATTTGGGCCAATATGAAAAAGATGCACAAACGGTATGCATGCGCTCATGGCAAACTCACCATCTGTAGGCAACTGTTATTCTCAAACTTGTCATTTGTACCTGGCCTGAGGCGCAGGGTCATGCCAATCTTTAAAATTTCATATGCGACAGCTGAATCGCTTACAGATAGTGGGTCCACCGTTTTGGGACATCTTATAAATATTTATAAATTGAGTAACTTTGAAACATTGGTGAAGAGCCCCTGGTGACTATTCAGGCTACATTTTTAGGATGTGAACTAGCGGAATACATAATACTGGTAGTACGACAAAAAGTGGACACTATGGAAATCCAGTGAAAGCAGACAATCTTGTTGTTTCAAGTGTTTTTTGTGTTTGTTTACATATCTCAAGGCCGTTTTCCTTTGCCAACCACTTTCACAAGACGCGCACAGCCATTCAGGAAGTGAAGTTGCAGAAATGATGCGAATTCATCGTCAGTTTAGTGTCCAGACACCCCGAAAGTGGGTCTTTGGCTGGTTGAATGTTGAAATATGTTGAAATAGTACAGAGCTGTCAGCCTTGCTATTGTTAGATGGAAACGAAAGTAGTTCCAGCCTTGTGATATTGATGCCCGAACTTGGGATACTGATGCTAAGTCTGCTAAGTCATTTTTTGCAGCTGGTTTGAGCCTTTGAGCCTTCACAGTCCTGTCACCCATCCTTTTGGCTCAAGTGGACGTGCGCAATTGACTTTTGCCTCGGCGCTTCTTGCGCTTCGGGTGCCACCGTGGTGGAACGAAGCCAGGGAATGTACAGAGATCATCCTCATTCAATTTCATCCACCGGGCCGTGCGCAATTGACTTTTGCCGCGGCGCTTCTTGCGCTTCGGGTGCCACCGTGGTGGAACGAAGCCAGGGAATGTACAGAGATCATCCTCATTCAATCATCCACCGGGCCGTGCGCAATTGACTTTTGCCGCGGCGCTTCTTGCGCTTCGGGTGCCACCGTGGTGGAACGAAGCCAGGGAATGTACAGAGATCATCCTCATTCAATTTCATCCACCGGGCCGTGCGCAATTGACTTTTGCCGCGGCGCTTCTTGCGCTTCGGGTGCCACCGTGGTGGAACGAAGCCAGGGAATGTACAGAGATCATCCTCATTCAATTTCATCCACCGGGCCGTGCGCAATTGACTTTTGCCGCGGCGCTTCTTGCGCTTCGGGTGCCACCGTGGTGGAACGAGCGAGGGAATGTACAGAGATCATCCTCATTCAATTTCATCCACCGGGCTAATTCATGATCTGATCAACAGCACCTTCGTTTGATACAGGAATGGCTGGTGAAGCGCTTGGGAATCAAAGATGACCTGAACTTTTTGACTTCATTTGTTGGCAATTTCTGCGTAACTGATTCGGGTGCAGCTGACTTGACTTCCAAAGGCACCAATTTTTCTGTTAAGCCTTTCTGCAGAATTGCGCCTTTGAAGCCACTGACAGCACTCCCAGTCTTCCCCTAGATGAAACCCAGCAATTCCAGGAGCAAAAACGTTGAAGATCTCGGGGGTTGACCCTTGTCATGCAATTTTCGGGGTGTTTAGACAAATTGCATCCCTGCAACACTTGTGTGCCTCAGATTTTTTGCCGAAGAAACAGAAGAAGACATGCCTTGGCATGAGACGGTATTCAGAGCGACGGCGAACAAGAAAGTTGGGCATGCCATGCCCAGCAATCGCAAAGCTTCCCATGCCATAGTTAAGGCCACGTGGTCCTTGAGCCGAGCTGCGAAGAGCCATGCATAAAGTGGAAATGCAGCATACCATTGCGTCATCGTTTGAACTTGTCGCAGTAT